TTTAGATCCATCAATAACTGAGCACTTCATCAATTCCTGGCTCAACGATCCACTCACGATGGAACACTCACGGGATTCTCCTATCGTTCCAGTCCCCATCTGAACTGAACTGAACTGAAACGCGCCCAAATGGGACGGCTGGCCGTCCATCTGTGCGGGCTGGGCAATGGAGTGACCGTTGGAACACCCTGAGTGGCCGTTTATTTCCGGCGTTTCCCTAACCTATGCCGTGAGTGTATATTTTCCGACTCACAAATATCGTTAACACATCGGAATTCGATCCCCAAATCGTAATGCCACACTGAAAGCTTTTTCTTTTGACCGAATTTTGTCCCTCATGAGTCTTACTGGGTCGGCCAAGGACACTAAAAACAGTCGCTCAGCCGAAGCATATCGGTCACTCGCGCGGACTGGGAGTGTGATTTTGTTAAGGACTAACGATTCAATATTTATTGCTGTGTTTAAACATTGCGCAATCTACTTTATTTTCTATTCCTCTGCGAGTGACCTGAAGATGTGCACAAATTGGACGTCAAGCCGTCCATCTGTTTGTCTCTGTTTTTTCCCGTTCCTTGCCTTTATACTTATTTCACGTCACCCGGTAGTGAACTGACTCCCGGAAGTGAACTGACCCCGAAGTGAACTGACTACTGGTTGGTTCGGCGGAGCTGTTCGCCACCGGCCGCGTCCGCAAGTTGCAGGGGAACGCCTTCCTTGTGAAGGTAATTGTGAATAAGTCTCTGCTGTTCGCAGACGAGATGAATAAGCAGTCGCGGACAATCAGCGGCAGCGTCCTAGAGCGTGGAAGGTCCTGGGCTGGTCACCTGCTTCCTCGTTAAATACCACAAGGGCTCGTACGGCACTGTGTCAAAGCCAATGTGATCGGCTATAGGGTCACTGACCACTCACTTCTGGTCACGAAATGATTACTTAACGGAAGACGGATGAACAACCTCGATGGCTATCGGCTGTCACCGGCCTTCGTGCTTTACGGCGAGCTCTGTAGTCCTTGATGCTTCACTGAGACTCTTTGGGTGCCCCGAGTAGTTTGCCTCTACACGAAAGCCGTTTCGCTTGAGAGCCGGCTCCCAACGGTCGCGGCTTAGGTCTTTATGATCCAAAGCTGCGAGTGGGGTCCCTTAAGTCAACCCTCTTTCGACCTGGGCAACCGGGATTCATGTTTCGGCAATTATTCGCTCGCTCTATCTGCTCTTACTCTCTCAAAATGCTTTCATCGGCAGAGGTGGCGTCTGAACTTGCTAAACTACCTTTTACCGCACCACTGTTTAGTCATTTATTCCATGTTTGTTCAACCCCCCATTCTTGGTCGTCTTCCTCCGTTTTCGAGTTCACAACATCCTGTCGCCTTGGGCGAACATTCTTGCTATGCAAATCAGTAGCCTAGGTCCGAAGATGCGTCAAGTCGTGTTGACAAACCATTTCTATCGCCTTGTTCCCACTTCCAGCTGGCAACCTTCAATCTTCGAACGCTGATGCAGATTGGATCACAAGGAGCCTTTGCTGGCACTAGAAACTACGGCTATTGATGTCTGCTGTCTCAGCGAGACCCATTTACAGGACTCTAGCACGACGTTGCGACTAGTTTCATCGTCTGCGAATTCCACTAGCATTTTCACTCTGCGCCTATCTGGAGACTCCAACCATCGGAGCTGCTGCTTATGCTGGCGTGGGGATTGCGTTGAGCACACGTGCTGAGGTCGTGCTACTAGACTGGATCCCTGTCAACAGTCGACTATGCGTGATCCGACTTGAAACTTCAGTGCGACTGTCACGGCGCGAAACCAGCGGACGCTGCCTATTCATTGTCGCAGTGTACGCTCCCACAGATTGCAGCCTGGAGTCAGTTAAAGATGAGTTCTTTGGTCAACTGGCCGACCTCCGTAAAAGCGCCGTACTGACATCGTGGTGCTCGCCGGGGACTTGAACTCGCATGTCAGTAGACTTGAAGTTGACGAACATGAACTCGGTGGTCAACACGGCCATGGCACTCGCACAACTGACAACGATGATCGACTACTTCCGCTTTGTGCCAATCACTGCCTCTTTCTGTCGAGCACTAGCTTTCGGGGATCCTGGCGCCAACGCGCCACCTGGAGACCCCCATCACCTGGCCAGCCGTGGACACAAATTGATCACATCGCCATTAGCTATCGCTGGCATGGTAGCATACAGGATTGCAAATCAATATGGAGTACCTATCTCACTTCGGATCACGCGCTGGGGTGTGCCAAGGTTGCGATACGCTTTGGTGGCTCCCAGCAGCGTCGCCAGAAACGGCTTGACGTAGCTAAGCTCTTTGCCCCAAACGTTCTCCACGCATTTCAGGATGCCTTGGCCTCACGGCTGAAGACTGCCCCATGCACGGACATTGCAACACACTGAACACACATCCGCGGCGCCATGTACAACTCTGCAACCCTGGTCTGTGGCTTCACCAGTAGTCCTGTCAACCACTGGATCTCTGCACGATCAACTTCTCGAACACCGTCGAGCAATCCCTACTAGCGTTAAATACCACTAACTAGGCAAGACTACTAACGCTGAGCTCAAACAGCTTTTCCGGGAAGATCGCGAGGTCTGGTGGATGCAGCGGTTCATTGAGATGGAGCAAGCGGCCACTTCGGGGAATTTCCGTAAGTTTTTCCTCCTGATCCGATCTACTGGCGGCAAAAAGCCGACGGTAAGCGAAGTTCGTGCGAAACCAAAGGCGAGATAATCCACTGCCGAAAAAGCCGACTCGAGCGTTGGACCGAGCACTTTGAGCAGCAGTTTAATTGGCCAGCAGCACCAATAATTTCAAATACTAGAGCCAGGAGCGCTCCCTGGTGTGTTCATGCTACACCATCATCCGCGGCTGATGTTGCCCACGAGCTTCACCTCTTAAAGCGCTATAAAGCCCCTGCCTCCGATGAAATCCCTCCGGCTGTTTTCAGAGATGGCGACCCATCACTTGTTTGTGAGTTAACTACTATACTCCAAGAGATCTGGGTCAATGAAGTTTTCCTATCTGACTGAAGCCTAACGGATATCGTGCCTGTGTTTAAAAAGGGTACCCAAACTGACTGCGCCAACCACAGAGGGATTAGTCTCATCCGTGTTGCTTTCAAGGTGCTCGCAGCTCTGCTTATAAGGAGGCTCAGCCTGGTACGCGAACAGAGCATACGTGAAGAGCAAGCTGGGTTACACTCAGGTCGGAGTTGCATCGATCACATCATTACACTCCGTCAAATACTTGAGCGTCGTTAAACATTTGGCGAGCAGCGATCGTTGTTTTGTTAGACATACGAGCCGCGTTTGACTCAGTTGACAGAGCTGATCTCGGGAGTTGTCTACTGAGAAGATGAGTGCCAGAGAACTGTCACCTTAATTCAAGCCATCTACTCTCAAACCTTGAGCCGAGTGCGAGTGTAGGGCGGATTTTCGCCACTACTATAGCATCACTAGTGGCGTAAGACAAGTTTGTCCAGCATCGCCTTCTTGTTCAAATTCGCTATAGACGAAATCTCAGAGAGTGCTCTGGAGAACTGCGAACCCAGCGACGTCGAGCTGCTTCCGGGGAACCGACTTCGGGATTTGGAGTATGCAAACGACATCGCCGTAATCTGCGCTTCTTCACAGACCGCTCAAAATGTCCTGGTTAAGTTGGCGATGTCTGTCTCCCACTTTGGAACGACCTTCGCACCATAGAAATACGAGGTTTTCCTGCAGGACTGGCTAGGCGCTGCTCCTGACCTTACCCTTCTAGGTCATTCATTGGAAGTGGGGGACAATTCGTTTACTTCGGAAGCTGCCTCAGCGCTAAAGGTTTAACGGATGAGGTCTCTTTGCGCGTCTCCGAGGCTCGGTTAGCTTTTGCCAATCTCCGCCACCTCTGGCGTCGAGGTGATCTGAGTCTAGCTCTGAAGGGCCGAGTTTACAATGCCACAGTGAGAGCAGTTCTCCTCTATGGCTGCGAGACTTGGCCTGTTCGCGCAAAGGATGTTGAGAGGCTCTGTTTTCGATCACCACTGCCTTCGGGGCATTTCTGGTGTACGATGGCAACATCACACTATGAATGAACATATTCGACAGGAGATTTTCAGATCAGACAGGCTTTGCCGGCCACTTAGCAGTATATTTTCTCTGCGCGGACTTCAGTGGCTTGGGTACCTTCTCCGCATGCCTACTCATCGCTTACCTCGCCGTGCCCTCTTTGCGCACGCGGAAGTCGGCTGGAAGCGAAACCAAGGTGGCCAACATATGACATGGGCCAGGAGAATGAAGGAGCTAACGTCAAAGTTAGCCGTGCTCTGGCGCTCTCGACTTCCTGGCTGGAGTGTGAAGGATCCGGAACACACTTGGCTGGAAGCGCTCTCGGATATGGCAAGAAGTCTTGTGTTCCTATCCAATTTGAACTTGACCAGTTGAAATTGCATTTATTGCAGTGCCGTTCAAATCACTGATGGATATGTGAAGCTGTATTTGCCCCGAATGCAACCACCAACCCTGCTAAACCACGTAAGTAACGCGGTCACTCCCTTTCAACATATCTATCGTTTTTAGACTCCGGTTTGCTTCTGGTGGAAAACGCTACTCTTGAAACATCGTGTGATGGAATGTTGCAAACCTCCGAATGTCGCAAATCAGCATTTCTGTGTTGCGTTCGACGTGTGCCTCGGATTGTTTAGTAATGAACGCAATCCACTGCACACTTCATAATGACGGCCGAAGATAACCAGCGAAATTGATCATTTTCATTCCAAATGGGATGATAAAGCGCTAGTGCTTCTCTGCAAGGAGGGTGAAAAACCTGCTTCATGCGAAAAGTGGTAGCACATCATTTGTTGTAATACGTGTGTTAGGTGTTCATTGCTCCAGTTCACGGTTAACATGTTGCGTAATGTCTTCAACATCACATGATGACCTCCATCGCCAACAACTTGTTGAGGAATTGATTTGCCTACCCGTTATGACCTTTAGCACGGGGTTATCAGTAAAGTATGTGTATGTGTAATAATTCCACTCACTGGTTCTATTTCGCGCTACAGTTCTGCTGGATGCAAGGAGTCCAGGCATGGATCCGACGACTGACAGCGCGATGGCGGTATGCAAAAGAGAGAAACTACTGTAATATTCGTAATTACGTGAGATACTTTATGTTAAAAGCGTGTATTTTCCGCGGAAATGAGTACGGTAAATCGCCAAGCGTGTTGATATTATGCAGGGGAAAAGGTGACGGTAGTGCGTTAACTCAACGGGAAATTTGGGAAAATGTATAAGGGCGAAGGGGTTAAGTGCCAGTTCTTTTTCTGGATGACCATTTTGCCGAAAAATGAATACAGTACATCGCCTAGAGTGTCGGGAATTAGCAGGCGAAGAAGGGGATGGTGGTACGTTAACGTAGTGGGAAATTTGGGAAAACACAAGAGCGAGCGGGGTTATGCTGCCGTTTTTTCTGACTGACCTACTGGTTGTCGAAAATTGTCCCGCGCAGCGCATTTTCGGTCACCCAACGACGGGTTTCCGTCACTCATGCTAACTGGGAGTCAGGTTGTAGAAGCCGGGGATAAAGCGGGAGTGCTGCTACGGGTGTTCCAGAATCTGCATAGGAAGGATAGTGGATGTGCTGAACCATCGCAGCCACACTGTGTATGCAGTCATACAATTGGCAGTGCCACAACACATAGTTAACAACAACAAAAAGGGGGAAAAACGGGCAGTCAGTGTGAGGATTTGGAAAGTTTAGTATGATCATGTGTTGTGTGGACAGAGATCTTCCCGGTTGCCCAGGCAGAGGAAGAGGTTGAATTAAGGGACCCGAATCCGAGCCTTTGGTCTTAAGACCTAGCCCGCAAGGCAGCGGGGCGATTAACGAAGTTCCTTGACATCCGGGTGGCTCCTACGCCTTATCTGTGTTCAGTAGCAGTCCCCAGAGAAGCCGGTGGCCAGCAAGGTTGTTCATCCGCTCTCCGTTATATACTCACCTCTGGTTACAGAAGTGAGTGGTCAGTGACCCTATAACCGGTCACATTGGCTTTGACACAGCGACGTACGAGATTTTGTGGTATTTGATGGAGAACCAGGTGACCAGCCCAGAACTACCCACGCTCTGAGACGCTGCCGCTGATTGTCCGCGACTGCTTATTCATCTCGCATGCAAGGCAAACGAGACTTATTCGCAGTTACCTCCACAAGGAAGGCATTCCCCAATCCGCAACCTAAGGACGCGTTCGATAGCGTACAGCTCCGCCACGGGTGCAGTCATACAATGCAGGACATGGTTCTGACTGCACAAGAGGCCTTCACCGTGATAGCTAACTTGAACACTTTCAAATCAGCTGGTCCTGATAATGTACATCCAGCAATAGTCAAGCCACTAGCTGACATTCTTCAGCATCCTGTTATGGAACTATTCAACTTGTCGCTTCATGAATGCAAGTTGCTACGAGACTGGAAGGACGCAACCATAGTCGCGATCCACAAGGGAGATTCCAATCGGAGCCTTTTAACTATAGACCTGTCATTCTAACCTGTGTTTTGCTCAAGTGCTTAGAAAAGCTTATAAGAAACCGGATTTGCAAGCACTTGGCAGAACATAATCTATTTAGAGCGGAACAGCATGGTTTCACTAAAATTAAATTGTGCCTCACTAACCTGTTGTGCTTTCTAGATGAGGTTACCAGATGTATTGATTCCGGCAGTGGTGTGCTGTTTCGACTTTAGTAAGGCTTTCGACTCAGTAAATCATCGTTTCTTACTTGAGAAATTGATATGGCTTGGATGGCATTCCAAACTCCTGTTTTGGGTGTCGGAATTCCTACGTGGGAGAAGGTTTCGAGTTAGAATCGAGGATGTGAATTGTCGTATAGGCATGGCCTACAGCGGCGTTCCGCAAGGATCGGTACTAGGTCCACTATTGTTTATTATGTTTATTAACGACTTGGCCCCTCTTCTTGATGATCCCTGTTATATTTTTGCAGATGACTTAAGGCTGGTCAGCAGGGGCAACTGAGCAACACTGACCCAAGGTAGCATCAGTGTGATTAACTGGTTGAAGCAATGGGACTCGCCTTTAAATGCTAACAAATGTCCATGATAGACCACTAGTAAAGACGGGATTGATATGCAAATTTCCTCTGTGTCTTTCACTTTACAGTGCACCAACCATGCACGTGGTTTAGGAGTCGTCATGTCGAACAGTTTAAGCCTTCGGTGTAATGTCGATATGCTGCGAACAAAGTGCGACAAAAACTGTTTCGCCTCAGAAGGGCACTGTGTAACATCGAGACAGAATATTTCCTGCCATTGTACAAAGTAGTGGTTAGGCCAATTCTGGAGTACTGTGTTCAGACTTGATCGGCTTACATCCGTAGTGATGTTTTTGCATGGAAAAGCTTCAAAAACTGGTGACCAGAATGGTTGAAGACCAAAGTGGAAAGTCGTACGAAGATCGTCTAAAGAGTTCATGGTTGTTTTCCTCTGGAGCGGCGTATACTGGGACGCAATCTGATAGAAACGTTTAAGATCATGAAAGGCCTCAGTGCCATCAATCCCACTGATTTCTTTGGGCTAGCTACTTCTGATCATTTGTGTAGGCATCGTTTCAAGGTCAAGCAACAGGGCTAACATGGACATCAGGGCGAATTTTTTTAACGAACCATGTGGTTCGCAGCTGGAATAAGTTACCTTCTGAGTTAGTTGGCTGCGAAACTGTGGCAGCCTTCAATGCAGGTTTGGATAAGTGCTGGTCGCATCTTTTTCCGGAATTGATGTAATCTTATCCAAATTGGGTAGCATTGATACTGCATACGTGAAAATGTAATGATTGCTCTTGTTCTTGCTTAATTTCTTTTTGCAGAAGCAAGAAGAGGCGATTAAAAGTCGAAGTGCCGGTAGCTCTTGTTTGCTTACCGGTACAAAAAGCTGGACGCTCGTTAGGCGGAAACCTGTCGTTCTTGGATCTTGACCTGACCTGACCTGTCGTTCCTGGAGGCTTGGATTCTGAGGCTATCGCACTTTGTAGCAGTTCAAACTGCAATATGCCAGTAACTGGCGACTCCGGTGGCATGCAGTGCAATATTTGCAACCGATGGTACCACCAGCTTTGTACGGACTTGAATTCCTAGCGGTACGCAGCGTTGGCCTCCAGCGACAGGTTGCTTTTCAATTGTGTCAGTTGCTGCAGCCGCCGGCAAGACCGCCTGGACTTTCATAAGGGAGACGAATCTCTTGATGCTCGGCTGCGAGATGTAGAGCCTTCTTTCTCGGTGCTCTCAGACCTTCATCACAAGGTTGATCTGCTCATGACGACGCTTCCGGTCTCCAACAACGCAGATTCGGTCACATACACTAGAGATAAATTTAAGTCACCAACCATTGTGTCACCTGTCCAGATGACTGCGGACCACATAAATGAAGCTGCTTCGGACGTCGTATCTAACCCTATCCTGATCGACGCCGAACTGCTGGTTTAAGGGTCATTAGAGTAAAGCAAAAGAGAACCAGGAAACTCCGTAGTCTCTCTAGTGAACAAGAAGCTGTAGTTGTCTGCACCGGCCTGATTTATTTCATCCGAAACTGTTACATGAGTTGGATGCGGAACTAAGTGGACCGCTCGTTTGACAGCTGTGCATTACCTTCCGAATGGAAGGAAGTTGTTATCTGTTCCATCTTCAAAAATGGAGACAGGTATCTGCCTACAAGTTACAGACCAATTAGTCTGACGAGTGTACTAGTCAAACTCCTCGAGAAGCTGGTGAGAGATTCATTGGAGAGTCATCTGAGTAGATTTAATGCACAACACGGATTCCGGAAGCCATTTTTGTGTCTAACCTATTTATTGGTAGCTCGCGAAAGGTGGGCGGATGCAGTGGATAACGTCCACGCACTAGATGTGCTTTTCGTCGACTTTTAGAAGGCATTTGACAAGGTACCCAATTTGAGACTCGCACAAAAGCTGACCTCCTACGGGATATCTGGCCGCACCCTTCATTGAGTGACTGCCCTCTTAGATTGTAGAGAACAGTGTGTACGGGTACGCCGCGGCCTATCGTCTAGGTAATCTGTCCTCAGTGGCGTGCCGCAGGGCTTGGTCCTTGGACCGCTGCTATTGTCTATGTGAATGACCCATCCGCGGAGCTTGAGGACTCATCGCTGCTATTTGCTGATGACTTGAACTTGTGGAATATTGTCGATGTTCGTGGGGGCTCTGAAGCTATTCAGCGAGCCTTGGATTGGCATTGGGACTGGTTTACTTTCTGGTTACTGCCCATAGATCAGACAAAGTACTCCGTTCTTCGAATTAGGAGATTGTCCTCCTACGAAATACTTGGTCGGTGAGGTCGAACTCCCCGGTGTGTCTAGGCGTGGTACACTATTTGACTTTACACTCCGTCGACAGCTGTAAGAAGGCCGCAAGCAGAGGCTTCCGCATGTTGCGGTTAATACGCCGTTCTTTCGGATACTTGACGGGTGGCATCTTTGTGTGGTGTTCTCGGCTTTCATTCGGCCTCATCTGGAATACTGCGTCCAGGCTTGTCTGCCCTGCCTCGTCTGGGACAAAATGTAGCTAGAGAGGATTTCACGGGTGGGTACTAGGTTAGTTGAGGGATTACGGGGGCGGACGTGTCCTGAGCGTCTACTTAGTTTAGGAATGCATTCAATGCACTTACCGAAGGCTTAGAGGAGACCTAATCCTAACCTACCGTATCTTAACTGGGAAGCTTAGTTCAGATTTAGCTTGGCTATTCAGTCCCGCTAGCTTGTTTGTTCTCCGCCGTCATTCCATTAAACTGGGCAAACCGTGGTCCGACCGGATTAGGGCGGAAATTCGGCTGTCACGCATAGTCATCGAGCGCTAGAACGTGTTTCCGGAAAGTGTTATCGGGGAATCTACGTTTAACCGGTTTGAGCGGCAACTTGACGCTCTTGGGTGGCAACACGAAATCTTTCCCTTTGCTTGACTAACTCGCATTTTCGTACTTTGCTTTTCTTTCCTCTACTTCGTGCGTTGGTCTTCTTTTATTTCGAGCAAACTTTCTGATTCTGTACCATCGGTTTCTCTTCCTATCCTTTGCTTACTTCACGTGACTGCCACAGCAGGGACTGTTGGCTTGGAGAAGTTCCAGTCGGGAGTATGAGCAAT